AGTGCCTACTATGTAACAGGCACCATGCTAACTAAGCACTCTACAAATATTAACTCATTTGATCCTCACAACAACCCAGGGGTAGATACTACTATTATCACCATTTTACATATGAGGAAACTGAGGCAGACAGTAGTTAAGTGACTTGCCCAAGGTCTCACAGCCAGTAAGTGTCCAAGGGATAATTTAAACTCAATTCTTCCTCTCTCTGGGCCTAGCTCTCTATCTACAATGCCACCTAGTTACCTCTAACATGTATCTCCACATATACGCATATACACACATACATACATATGTAGACACACATAGAGAAATATGTGTATATATAGGCATATACGTGTGTGTCTATATATGTATAATATAAATACACATATGCATGTGTATGTGTATCTGTATATATATACATATGTGTATACACACACACATAAATATATATATATAGAAAATCTGTGTGTGTAGTGAGCTAATATGCACATCTTGGACCAATGGAAAACTCATAGATTTATGTTTTAATCACCATTCCTGGAAAGAATTCACTTGGCAAAAGATTGTCAACTTAAGAAAATGATGCCAGAAATTAACATTTATTTTAGTTTCATCTTTACGTTCAGGGTTACCATATTTCCTTAGATCCTATTTACAAGGGGTTATAATGAAAAAACAAAACAAAACAAAACAATATTAACTAGGGAAATGTATAAGACCTTTTCCTTGCTTTCTTGGGAAAAGGGTTCTTAACACTAACAATCAATGTTAATCTAGCACATTTTTCCAGCAATTCTGTATTGTACAGGCCAAAGATTTTGTTTTGTTTTGGTTTGGCTTTCACCTTACCTGATTTGCAGCAGTTAATGAAAAGTTGTATTAGATGGCAAAATGAAAGCAGCTACTCAAATCAACAGCCTTTTGAATGAAAAACATTATGGCAGCATAGCTTTACAAAGGTACTTGGCAGGATAAAAGAGACCTTCTGCAAGTATGTTATCGACTGTGATATAGATGGAACCGTGGAAGAGGAATTTCTTCCTTTCCTTTACTTTGATGTTCATTTGCCTTACTAATATGTAGGAATTGCCCATAAAAAGAATTTAAACCTATTTTGAACACTATAGAACCTCTCACCGTAACAAGATTGAACTCTGAATAGGAATAAAATAACCCCCAATTACAAATTAGCTTTGAAATCTTATTCATTTGTTAGAATACAATATCTCTTTTGTTAAGGATTTTCATAATTAATTTTTAGAAGAAAAAAAGCATCAGGCATTTCCTTTTTAATGGGATACATGTATCTGAAGCACACCAACCACTTTCCCTCCTCAGCTCATCACCATATTCATTCTCAAAACAGTTTACCCATCCTATTGCACTGTGCCCTCAACCCCAATTCTGGTCTCAACAGGCTTCCCTATCTACAAGAACTTTTCAGTCAATAGTCTTTCTGCCTCTTTCTTTTAACAGAAATTTGCCTTTCCCCTGAAGATAACTCATCCCAGAGGCCACTCATTCTCTTCTCCTCAATTCACAGGTCTGATTTCTCATTCTCTACTATTGGTTTGATACTATTCCCCTGTGACCATTTTATGACTTTTTTTCTTTAATGTTCCAAGAAATCGATTTATGATATTAATCTTAAACCTAATTTTCTAACCCTAACTCTCCCCATACTTGTTGCTGACATTTACTAGCCTCCAAATGCTTCTTCCAATTTTCTCAATAAATTCAACACTGGTCTTCCTTTTCATTCCAGTCCTTTTCACCATTCCTGTGGTCTTCCTTCTCCCCATTTAACAAACAACCACATACTTCTTCAATCTTTTCAACATTAACCACCTCTTCTCCATCATTGTTAAGCCACGTACTGACGTGGTCTCACCTTAGACCTCATTGCTTTGTGAAATTGCAGGAGAGCTTTGAAATTGTACCCTTCAACCACAATCTCTTCATTTTTCACCTCTTCCACTCTAACATTAAATATACTCTTTACCCTTATTATAAACTTCAGTCCCTTGACCATTCCTGGTCTCCAACATGTCTTCCAAATTCTGGCTTCACTCATGTCTGTTCATAGGTCCACAACTTCACACAGAAAAATCTCCATGTTGAAATCGTATTCCCTCATTATCTACACCTCATGGAATCCCTAGCTTTATTCAAGTTTTGGCCTATTTGGATGCTCTTATTTTCTAGTACTCTCCCCACAGAAATTACTTTGTATCTACTTAGCATATATGTTGCTAGTTTAATTTTCCATGTACATGCTATTTTTTTGTGAGGCAGTCAAAGTTAAGTGACTTGCCCAGGATCACACAGCTAGTAAGTGTCTGAGGCTGGATTTGAACTCAGAAAAATGAGCCTTCCTGACTCCTGACCTGGCATCATATCTACTGCACTACTTAGCTGTCCCAATAATTATTTACTAATTACTTAAAATGGGCCACGTATCATGCTAGGTGCTGGTTGGGCAAAGACAAAAATGAACTAGTCTCTGACTTCAAGAAGTTATGGTCTATCAGACTCCACTTGTGGATCACTCATTGTTTCATGTACTACTTTGAAGTCAGGCTTCTGTTCCTATCACACCATTGTATCTGCTCACATTCTCTAAGCAAGCCAGATCACCAATAATAATTCAATAATCACCAAAGCCAAGGGTATTTTTCAGTCCTCATCATCCTTAATCTCTTTGAAACTTTCCAACATCCCCTTACTGGATGGTCTATCTTTCCTTAATTTCAGATATATGTCACTATCCTGGTATCCTCACAATCAAGTCTGCTTCTGCTGCACCATTCTCTTAATATGAATGTTCACCCAGGATACATCCTTATCTTTCAGCTTCTCTCTCTCCACGCACCACTCTCCACTTCATTTTTCTATCACTGCGATACAGATGATTCCCAGATTGGAATCTCTAAGCCCAACTTTTCTTCTAAGTTCCACCATATCTTCAGCTACCTAGAAGATTTTTCCACCTGTATGACACTTCAGCATCTCAGATGCAACATTTCCAAAACATGGTCCATTATCTTTCTCCCTAAATCTGTTCTTCTTTCTGACTTCTCTTTTTCTGTCTGTGGCAACAACTTTTTACCTGGTTTCCCATGTTTATAACCTTTAGCTTATCTGTCTCTTTTCTTTCCCTCACCTCTCATATCCAATCAGTAACCAATCATATCAATTCTACTTTTACAACAACTTTCATATGTGGATTTTCCTCCTATTCCCACTACCAGCCTCGTAACATGAACAGCTTCTTGGACTAGCTATTGGAATAAATACCTAATAATAGGTCTTCCCAAATCCCCTCTTTTCCTACATTTAACTGATCCTTCATCCTGCTATAGGAATCATTTATTATGCATATATCTGATTATGTATTTTCTCTACTCAAAAAATATTTAGAAGTCACCCATTGCTTCCTAAGTAATCACTACCACTTGGCATTCAAAGTTCTCTACTATATGGCATCATCCTACTTTTCCAGTCATATCTGATATCATTACTCTCACCATATATCCTATGCTTTAGCCAAACTGGACTACTATGTGTCCCGTGAATATTACATGTGTTCCTATACCACCACCCCTTTGTTAATATTATCTGGAATTCTTTGTTGGAAATGTTCTTCGTCTCACTTTTCACTTGAATTTCTACTGAGCCTTTAAGGTCCAACTCAAATGTTTCTTCTCCAGGTATTCTCTCCTGCTCCCCTCAGTTGATAACAAATTTCATCTTGGAACTTCATACAGCACTTAATTATAATGCTCTAAATATTAGCACTTAATTATAATACTCTAAAGCAATTATCAATGCTGTTTTCTTATTCTCTTACTAGATTTTATCTCTGAAGGTTGGGGTAGTATATAATCTAAACTTTGCTTATCTCCTGGATTATGGTACTATGAATATATCCTAGAATATACTACAGATGCTACATAGTATTTTACATATAGCAAGCACTTAATATGTACTATATTTGTTGAATGAATACTGAATGAGTTTAGAATAGCAATGATTCTGTCCATCAATTCCCTGGTCCTTAAAGTCTTCTAAGAGATGTATTTTCTAATTATAATTTTATTGATATTCTTTGATTTTTGTCACCTTAATTATCCAATGTATCTTTCTTCCTTCTCCCTCCCAAATAATAATCCCTTATAACAAAGAATACAAACTAGAAACAAAGAAAGAATTTGGCAAAACTAACCAAGATCCAAACATTCTGACATGACATGCAGTATTTGACCTCAGTTAGTCCCACACCTCTATGAAGAATGAGGTGGGAGGCAGGAGCAAGTACCTTCTTGTATATCTTCTTTGGGGCCAATCTTGGTCACAATAAATTGTCAGCATTTAGCTGTCATTGTTTTTTGTTACTGTTCTTTGTGTTGACATTGCTGTGCTTAATATGTGTTTTGTTTTCCTCATTCTGATTACTTCACTTTGTATCAGTTCATTTAAGTCTTCCCATTATCTCTATATCCATCATATTCAGCCTTTCCTATAGTGATATTCCATTACATCATTGAATTAGTCATTCATCAGTCAATGGGCATCCATTTTGTTTCTAGGTCTTTGCCCCTACACTCATTTTTGAAAAACATTCATGTTTCATTAAGTCAATTATGTTGTGAGAATGTAATATAGCATGTAAGATTCTTGAAGATAAGAACTATTTCTCCTTTTTGAAAAACTACTATGTAGTAGTAGGTTCTTAATAAATGTTTGTGGAATTGAATTGAATTATATTGGTAATTTCCTACATCACCTGAGATCATTGGAGAAACCTACGAGTTAGGGAACAATGATTTAGGTACATTTCCAATATTAACTAGATGGTAAGGGTATGAATTAAGGTGTTAATTTGATATGTTAACAATAGAAGTATGGCATATATTTCACTTTCTGTAAAGAATATTTAAAATGAGAGTTTAGTCTATGTAAAATATGCCTGTCCTATATTTACATCTTGTGTTTTCTTTAACTCTTTTTTAAAGGTATCAGATACACACCGGACTTCAGCACTCTATCATAAGACCTACTCAGCCCAATTGCTTACCTCTGGATAATGAGACTCTACCTCAGAAACTCAAGGAAGTTGGCTATTCAACTCATATGGTTGGAAAATGGCATTTGGGGTTTTATCGGAAAGAATGCATGCCAACCAAAAGAGGGTTTGATACTTTTTTTGGCTCCCTCCTGGGAAGTGGTGATTACTATACACACTATAAATGTGATAGCCCAGGGATGTGTGGGTATGACTTGTACGAGAATGACAATGCTGCTTGGGACCATGATAATGGTATATACTCGACACAGATGTATACTCAGAAAGTGCAGCAGATTTTAGCTTCTCACAACCCCAGGAAACCTATATTTTTGTATATTGCATACCAGGCTGTTCACTCACCACTACAGGCACCGGGAAAGTACTTTGAACATTACAGATCCATTATCAACATTAACCGGAGGAGATACGCTGCCATGCTGGCATGCTTGGATGAAGCCATCAACAACGTGACCCTGGCTTTAAAGAGGTATGGTTTCTATGACAACAGCATCATCATCTACTCTTCAGATAATGGAGGACAGCCCATGGCAGGAGGAAGCAACTGGCCTCTCAGGGGAAGCAAGGGGACCTATTGGGAAGGAGGAATACGAGCAGTTGGCTTTGTTCACAGCCCACTTTTGAAAAACAAAGGAACTATATGCAAAGAGCTTGTGCACATCACAGATTGGTACCCCACGCTGATCACACTGGCCGAAGGCTGGATTGATGAGGACACTCAGCTAGATGGTTATGACATCTGGGAGACCATAAGTGAAGGCCGGCGTTCCCCACGAGTAGATATTTTGCACAACATTGACCCCATTTACACAAAAGCCAAAAATGGTTCTTGGGCAGCAGGCTTTGGGATCTGGAACACAGCTATACAGTCAGCAATAAGAGTCCAACACTGGAAACTGTTGACAGGGAATCCGGGCTATAGTGACTGGGTCCCCCCTCAGTCTTTTAGTAATGCCGGGCCCAATCGGTGGCATAATGAACGAATTTCCTGGTCTGCTGGCAAAAGTGTTTGGCTTTTCAACATCACAGCTGACCCATATGAGCGGGTGGACCTTTCAAGTAAGTATCCAGGGATTGTGAAGAAGCTTTTACGGAGACTGTCCCAGTTCAATAAAACTGCAGTCCCTGTCAGGTATCCACCCAAGGACCCTAGGAGCAACCCTAGGCTCAACGGAGGAGTCTGGGGTCCGTGGTACAAAGAAGATGATAAGAAAAGGAAACCAGGAAAAAACAAGGTTGAAAAAAAGCAGAAAAAACCTAAAACCAAGAAGAAAAAACATCGGAAAAAAGGGCAGTTTCCAAATTGCCACACAGCCCTTACCCGTGGGCAATCGTAAAATGGTGTTTGATGAAACTCAAATCCATCCATACTTTGTCCCATACTTCCCCCAGCTAAACTGTCAAAGCCAGCTCTGTAATGAGACTGCCTGAAAACCCCAGATCTGTTCTCATCCAGTGCCAATGCAAAGCGGTCTCAAACTTGACCTCAGTCTTCCTGACCTACCATGTAGAGAATCACAAATAGCCTTGTCAAGAACTTTCTTCTTCTTCATACCAAAGATGCCATTCCCACAGGCAGCAGCATTTCAGATAATGCTGTTACCAGTGCTTTTTTCTTGCCCCTTTCATTAAGGGCAGGTGTTGGCATGATAGTTTCTGTACTTCAACAATTGGCCATTTTTTTTGAAGTAAAGAAGGGGGAATATGACTATAACTGAGAATCCTGCTAGTGTGAAGAGGGTTATGGGGCACGAAGAAAAACACTGACTTTAGGCAAGCACAATACAAGGCTAAACAAGTGGCCTTGGAAAAGACCTAATTTCTTCCTGGATTTTTTTTTATGTGTGTGTGTGTGTGTGTCTTATACTTCTGAGAAGATGTTTTGCTTTTAGGGTTTTATTGTTTTTGTTTTTGTTTTTGTTTTTCCTGGCTGAAGTTTTTCTTCCAGCAAAAATAAGTGGTGAGCCTCATATGGGAGACAGCTTGTACCTCATATGATCTTCCATGTAAAAGGGCAAGAAGAGGCCTTTGAGCACACTGTCAAAAAAAAAAGGACTATAATTATTGTTTAATTGCTTTAATAAAAAATGACACTTCTGCATAAAAAGCATAATTTATTTTTTACAGAGACAGAACAATTATTTTGCTGTCATCAATGGCAACGCAAATGATGATTTTATTGTTTTATTGTATTTTCCAAGTAACAGTAGAATATTTTTTTTAATTTCACCATCCTAAATGACAAAGCACTGTAAAAGTCTGAGTTACTGTAAACACTGCTGGAACAAGGAGAGTACTGAAGGGAAACGACCCAGCTGAAGACTCTGAATAGACCACATTCACCCATTATTTTGAATGTAATGAGATGATGACTTTGCTTAAGAGTTACCTGGAACATTTTAGAGTGGTTTCTATGCAGAAGCTAGACAACTTTACTGTTTCTATGATTAACACTTTATTTATGTATCTATTAAAATAGTTTATTTTTATGGCATTCACAAAGTTAGTCTGGCTTTTCTCTAACTTCTCGGCCATGAATCAGCTCACCTCAGCAAAACAAAATTTGTGTGAGGAGAAGGTCAAGGGGGGTGTTGAGGGTCACTATGATAGGGGACATTTAGGGTCCTCAAATTGGAGGTGTTTCCTTTTATTTTGGAAATTGAGACCACGACAGAAAAGAAAATGAATTGCTATTGGCGGCTAACATCATTGAGAAAGTGTCAACTTTGTATCATACGGTGCCAAGCACCATGAGAGAATAACAAACAAATAAAAATGATGGACCTTGCTGTAAAATAGTCTAAAACATAGTTTGAGACAGATAAAAATTACTTGAAAGAGTTTACAAAGGAATGTAAAGAGTAAGTATATAAAGTTTATGGGACTTTGGAACCACTTTCTGGTCACCAATACCCAAAAGAGCCGTGTGGCTGCTGTTTGCCCTATACAGTTTAGTACGTTCTCATGCCCAGAGAAATGAGGATTTGAGGATCCCCAGGATCTGTATGAATGAGACATGCAGATGGGGAGCTGCCACCTGAATATGTACTAATTAAAACAGGACGTTAGTGAAAACTGAATTTAAGCGTACTCACCATTGCTACTAAATTTCTCAATGGGATAATAGCTGCAGGGTCAAATCCCATTGCTCCTTTTCTTTTCAACATGCCACAAGTTTTTAGATCATTGTTTGCAGTTCTTATTTCAGGGGAATCCATGGATTTCAAGAATCCATTATTTCAACCCAACACATCAAGCCTCCCCCCGACACACACACACACACACCAGACTCCTAAAAAAATGATGCTTATGGGTTGCTCTCACCATAAAAAAAGATGGCTAGAAAGAGGTTGCTGTTTGTCCTGTTTTTTTTTTTTTTTTTGCTTTTTGGTGAGACAATATGGGTTAGGTGACTTGCCCAGGGTCACGTAGCTAGTAAGTGTCAAGTGTTTGAGGCCGAATTTGAACTCAGGTCCTCCTGACTCCAAGGCTGGATCTCTATCCGCTGCACCACCTTGTCCTTCATTCTTGAAGAGGACCGTGACATCAGGGAGGTGAAGCCATCACATGCAAGTGAATTCAATTTAAGTGCGGAAGGGCTGTGCAAAGTCACCAGCCTCACTTTCTCCTTCAGAGCCATATGGGTCCAGTGATATGGATCAGGAGATGGCCCGGGATGCTCTCAGACAGATAGATAGAGAGAATCATATCGTCAAACTCCTTTTGAATTTTGAATGTCCTTATCAGTGCTAATACTAGGGAAAGCAGCAGAGCTCCATCAGTCAAAAAAAAAAAAAACCTACTATGTGCCAGGCACTGTGCTAGAAGCTGAGGATCCAAAGAAAGGCAAAAACATGGACCCTGCCCTCAAGGATCTTATAGTCTAATGGAGAAGTTAACAAACAAAAGGTAAAAATTAAAAGGACATACAAGAGATATAAATGTCAATGAAAGTTAATCTCAGAGAGAAATCATGAACAGCCAGAGGACCCAAGAGAGGCCTCTTGCAGAAGGTGGAGTTTGAGCTGAGTAATGAAGGAAGCCGGGGAAGCCAGGAGTTGGAGAGGGAGGTGCAGAGGGAGAACAGTCCAGGTATGAGGGCTGCCAGTGGAAAGACACAGAAGCAGGAGATGGAATGTTGTCTATGAGGAACAACAAGAAGGCCATTATCACTAGATGGTAGAGTGTGTAGAGAGGAGTAAAGAAGACTGGAAAGGTGTGAAGGAACTGGGTTGTGAAGGCCTTGAAAAGCCTAACAGAGGATACCATATTTAATCCTGAAGGTAATAGGGAGTCATCAAATTTTGTTGAGTAGGGGGTGATATTGTCAGAACTCCATTTTAGGAAAAACCATTTTCGCAATTGAGTGGAGCATAGACTGGCACGGGGAGAGATTTGAGGCAGTGAGACCAACCAGAAGGTTAGTACAGTAGCCCATGCCCGCACCACCGTGGCAATTGTGTGAATGGGGAAAGAGGAACATATAAGAAAAAATGAGGTGAAAGTAGAAAAGATAAGATTTGGCAAAGGATTGGAAAGGGAGAGACAGAGGGAGAGGAGTCAAAGATAACAAACAACTAGATCGTAAACCTAGGTAACTTGGAGGATAGAGACGTGTGATTTCATTGGTCTAGGGAACTCCTAGAAGAAAGTACCTCTATCAGTGCAGGTCAGCACCTTCTTTGCAACTTGTAGCCTTGGAGTTAAGTAGAGCAGTGAGAGGTCAAGTGACTTGTCCTGGGTCACTCAATTAATACATATCAAAGGTGGGATCTCTGAACCCAAGTCTTTCTGGCTCCCTCTGTATCTACTACTCCAAAATGCCTCCCTTAAATGAAATATAGATAGGTAGACAGATATATAGATGTAGCTACACATACATAGACATGTATGTATATAGACACACAGAGCTATATATGTATATATACACACATATATATTTCATTTGAGAGGCAGTTTAGGTATAGGTGTGTATATCTGCATAACTGTATTACATATACATATATATGCATGTATAAAAATTATTAAGACATCAAGAGAGTACTAAGTCAATGCAACTGAAGGTCAGTAAGAAATACTAAGATGAAACAGTACTTGATTCATCCATCAAAGCCCATGCTTTCCTTGTGGTACTTCTGACCATCTAGCCCAGAGGTGGGAAACCCCCACATGTGGCCCTCTCAAGTTCGGCCCTTTGACCGAATCCAAACTTCACAGAACAAATCCCCTTAATAAAAGGATTTGAATTCTGTAAAACTTGGACTCAGTCAAAAAGCCACACCCAAGGATCTAGAAGGCCACATGTGGCCTCAAGGCACCAGGTTCCCCATCTCTGAATTCTAGCCTATCATTGCTGGAGACTCTAAAAGGAGATTTTAGAAAAAAAAAAAAAGAGGTGAGGACGCCTAAGGCTCTTAAAAGAGAAGCTAACAAGAGGTCACATTTCCAGTGGGTGGCCATGCCATACTTACCAGAGCCAACATTTTTAATGGGGCATTCCTGTAAGCAGCAACCAATTACAAGGAAAAGGACCACCAGTGAAAGGACTAGAAATTCCAAGTGTGTAAAAAAGCTTTTCACATTTGATTATTGGAGGGAGGAGGGTTAGTGGGAGGCTTACCTGCCCTCAAGACTAAGGAAGAGGAAAATGGAACAAACCTGATTGATTCTGAGAATTTAGGAAATCTTATCACCCACAAGTAGGCAAAGTAGGGTATTGGCCTCCAGGGAAGGATTGCCCCCAAATTAAAAGGAAGATATAAATAAAGGAAGATCTTAAGGAGGATGGATAGAAAAGCAGAAAATCTTTCCAGTACATAGCACAGTTCCTGGTACATGGTAGGAGCTTAGTAATTGTTTGTTTGTTAAATGGCTGATTGCATTAACTTGAAATCAGAGTATAACAGTAGAAAGAACACTAACTCTGGAGTCAGAGGATCTGAGTTCAAATAGTACCTTTGATCCTTGCCTCCTAAGTGACCTCCATGACTTGGAATGATTAACTTAACCACCCTTGGCCTCAGTTTCTTCATTTGCACAATGAAAGGTTTGAATTAGATGATTCTTCTGGACCCTTCCTTCCTCTACAGCTATGATCCATCCACCTCCCAAACATCAGATTGATCTGGTTGGAAAGTAATGCAGAAAATAGTCATGTCCTCCACAGGGCTAGTATTTGAGGGTACAACTCTGTGTAGATAGCTGAAACCTTGCCTTGGTTCATGCTAGGTTCCATGTGAATCCCTTGAGCCTAATTCACTGAACTAATTCACTTCAATCCCTCCCAAATACGGATTGGAGGAATCAAATTAGAAGGGACTCCCAATATCCCTCTTGCTAGAAGCCTCACAGTCCAGGGGACCTTGTTTATAAAGGTGAGGAACAGTTTCTCCCTCCCACAGGGAAGCTTTGGGAAGAAAGGAAGTTAGAGGAGCTGGCAGCCTACCCATCTTGGAAGAGGGAAGAGTCAGTGTGCCATTAGTATGAGACACCTTTTCAAAAGAAGTGAAAGAAGGAAGGCCCAAGAGAAAAAGAGTACTGGGTATGTAGGTACCAGGTTAGGCTGTGTGGTTTCTTAGTTTAGGAAAATAACAACTGTAGGCAGAAGCAAGTATATTGTTAATAAAATGACTAGCCAATAAACAGAGGAATGATGTCTATGCCCTTGTTCGAATGAGCCAATTTCCTCCAGGCATATATAAAGAGGCCAAACTACACATAAGTACACACATACACACATACACACACACATCCCTCCCAGAGAGGAAGAAGGAGGAAGAGGGAGATGAAAATAGTGGGATATATTAAACACAGTTATTGGAGAAGTTGCTAGCATCATAGATGTGGATAGCAAGTAGCCTGGGCAGCATCAAGGAAAATGTAGCCATTACATATCGTTGAAGTAATGTACAGGGGTGATTTTCTCAGGAGATTTAAAGAGGAGAGAGAGGGACAGTTCAACAGTTGCTGGTAGATTTAATCACACTAGCTAACTTTTAGGCATTTCAGCAGCATGGATGGTATCTGCAAAGAGTCAGGCTCAGGATACCCTCAGGCAGCTTGGGAATGGTAATGTCACATTGTCAGGGGTTTCTAGAAGAGAAATTTCCCTGATGTTAAGTCTGGAATTGTGCCTCTCATGGACCAGACAGCATGGAAAAAGCTGGAGGAGAGTACAAGTCTAGCCTCTTACCTCCCATTATTGGCAATGCTTCATAAGAATAAGAACTCCCTTTTGCATAGCACTTCAAGGTTTGCAAAGTATTCTACAAGTCCTCGCAGAAACCCAGTAAAGTAAATAGTTCAGGTGTTCTTAGCCCCATTCATTCATTCATTCATTCATTCATCCATCAATCCATCTATCTATCCATCCATCTATCTATTTATTCATTTTACCGGAGTTGTTATTTCCAGAGTTGTTATTTCAT